AAGTTGCTCAGTCAGGCATTCAAAGTATTCAAAGAAGAGGAAATTGAATTTACTTCATTTCTTAATGCAAGTTAAAACGGTTCAGGGAATTTAATTAACTAAGCTTATAAATTAAGGATAATTTAGTATGTTGAGCTTAAATTGCAGTGATTGTTACTTTAATAGATTTATAAATAGTATATTGATATTCAGAAGTTGACTTTGAAGGCGTAATGAAATGGAAACCAAGGATTGACATCTTCATGTTGATAATATGAATGTTAACTTAAAACCAAAGTAGCCATAAATATTTCTACATCCAAAGGTGCCCTGAGGCACTGGAAGCCCACCTTGGGACACAGCTTTCTTCTTTGCCTTAGCTTCTGGCTCCCTTCCACCATGATCAGTCTTCAAGATACATCCTCAGAAAGGTATTTACCATCTCACCATCCATCATTTACATTACCTCTCCTGTTGAGTCAGAATCAAGTTATCAGCAACTAGGTCTTCTCCTCACATCCTACCAATTTGTCTTCTCCTGCAGCCAACACCCAAATCCACTAGTGTCATTTGATTCTGACTCATGGTGCCCCCCCATTGGGATTCCAAGGACATAAATCTTTGAAAGGAGACCATCCATGTTTCTTCTGCAGAGCAGCTGGCAGGTTCAGACTGCAGTGCCACACTCTGCACGCTATCCCACCAGATCCTCATGTTATCCAACAGTCTCCTATGCATGTCTTCACTCCAGTTAGAATTAGACATTTATCTGTGGATTTAGGGGGTTTTCCCAGTGTCTGACCCCATGAAATGGTGAATTCTCAGAAAGTAGGAACTACTTCTGCTACCTTATAAAAACTCAAAATTGACTCATAGAGGATCTTCCTGTGAGTTTTTGGAAGCTATCAATTAAGACAAGGTGGGTGACTTTTAGTTCGCAGCCCTCAGGCCAGTCTTTCATTGTTTTTGTTCAGACATTCCTCTAGGTCGTATAGCCCTGGTGTACAAGTTGCCGTCCGGGTCGCTTGTGGTTGCTATGAGGCTGAACACTGTGACATGGATGTGTCAAATGGCTGGCTACCCAATTGCGGACTGAGAGTGGGGTGGAGCTCCCCGATTAAACAAGCGTGGAAGGAGGAGTGGCATCCACTTCCATAATAGCTTGCCCCAGGAAACCCTATGAACTTGGAGAGAGGATGAAAGACACCCAAGCGTCAAGGACTCTCCTTCATAGGGTCGCTATGAGTCGCCTGCGACTCAACGGCACTTAAGAACAACAACACAATCAATTACACAGGAAGAGGCTGTCCACTTTTCTCCCACAGAACTCTTGCTGGTTTTGAACTGAAAGAGAGTCGCTGCCTTTGTGTTAGCAGTGAAACTCCCTCTGGACTATACTACCAAAGCTTTGACATTGTAAGTATATAATAAACATAGATTGAACAGGTAAATTGGTTTGGAGAGCTGAAGAAATTATGGAATATAACAAACTGATACCACAAGGCAAGGTGGACAACATTGTAAATGCCTTTTCTGTCAGTTTCACAACTCAAGAGAAGGATAATAATCAGCATTAGAATTTAATAAACATTTGGAATACAATTGACATATTTCAACACACTGATGCTGCCCTAGCTGTGCTCACCAGGCTGTGCCAAGAAATCTGGAGGATAACTACCTGGCCAACTGATGGAAAAGATCCATATTTATTTCCATTTCAAAAACAGGTGACCTGACAGAGTGTGGAAATTCTTGAACAACATCACTTATATCACATGAAAGTAAAGTCCTGCTGATGGGTATCCAGAAATGACTGGAACAGTACATTGACAGAGAACGGCCAGAAATACACACTGGGTTTAGAAGAGGCTGTTGCACTAGAGACATCACCACCAATGTCACATGGATCTTGGCTGAAAGAAAAGAGTATCAAAGGAATGTCTGTGATTCACTGATTATGCAAAGGCATTTGACTTATTTGACTATATGGATTACAACCAATTGTGGCTATCTTTGAGAAGAATGGGAATCTCAGAACACTTGATTGGGCTCATACAAAACTTATACTTGAATCAGGACTCCTTCAAAAGAACAGAGCAAAGAAACAGTGCATGATTGAAATTAAGGAAGGGATTGTGTCAGAGACGTGTCCTGTCTCTACATCTTTTCAACATATATGCAAAACAGATCATTCAGGAGCCTGGACTTTATGAGGAGGAAGGTGGCATCAGGTTTGGAGGAAAACTCATTAACAACCTGTGTTATGCAGATGACACAAGCTTGCTTAGTGAAACTGAGGAGGGCCTGAAGTGTTTGCTGCATAAGGTCAAGGACTGTAGTCTTCAATATGGATTGAAGCTCAATATCAAGAAAACAAAGATTCTTACCACTGAGCCAATTGGCAGCACCATGATAGACAAAGAAGAGATTGAGGTTGTTAACAATTTCATCTTGCTTAGATACACAATCAATACTCTTGGTATCAGCAGTCAGGTAATAAAAAGAAGATTGCACTGGGGAAATTTGATGTCAGAGACCTCTCCAAAATGCTAAAGAGCAATGATGTCAGTCTAGAGACTAAGGTGCACCTGATTCAGTCCATGGTCTTCGCAATTACTTGTTATGTATCAGAGTGCTGGGCAATGACTAAGGATGACTGAAGAAGAATCAATGCCTGTGAATTGGAGAGGCATTTGACAGGACATTTTCCCAAAGCAAAATGTCTTTTGATTTCTTGACTGCTAGTGCAAAGGATGTTGATTATGGATTCAAGTAAGACAAAATCAGACCCTGGCTGAGATAGATTGACACAGTGACCATAGCAATGGGGGTCTGATGTGTCAGAGATAGTGAGGTTGGCTCAAAATAGGGAAAAAAAAATAGGGCAGAATCTTTCTTTGTAGGATCACTCTAAGTTGTAGTCAACTCAAAGGCACATAACAACAATAACACAATGATATTTGGTGAGGATTTTTTGTCTTTTTCATGTTGAGATGGAATCCAGATTGAAGACTGTTTTGTTTGATCGCAATTCCTTGCTATGAATCAGAAAGACAATGAATAGGGATGATAGATAATGGATGCCTTTGAGCTGTGCTGCTGGAGAAGAGTATTGAATATACCACGGACTGCTAGGCAAGCAAACAGGTTCATCCTAGAGAGGGTGAAAACAGGCTGCTCCTTGGAGACAAGGATTCTGAAGCTTCATCTGACATACTTTGGGCATGTTGCAAGAGAGACCAGTCCTTGGAGAAAGACATCATGCTTGGGAGGGTGGTGGTGAAAGGATAGTGCAAAAGAAGAAGACCCTAGAGGAGATGGATTGACTCAGTGACTGGGGTAATGTGGGTAGGTGTGTCAAAGATGATGAAGCTGGCTCAGGACAGAGCAGGGTTCAGAGCTGTTGTACATAGGGTTGCTACGAGTCACAAGAGACTTGATGGCACATAACAATAACAAGTCTTTGCTCTTTTGCAACAAACAGTCTTCCTTACTTTTATCAAGCTAGGTGAGTCATCTACAGGTCTTTCATTGACTCTTTTGTTCCTGATGAGTCTTTTACTTTCAATTTTTCCTAACTGAGTATTTCCATACACAATTTCCTTTGACCTGCCCTTCAAGGAGACATGCATTAGTTGAGTAGCTTTGGCTTGGGAGAAAGTGAGATTCCCTGCAAGGTGGGCTCAGCCATCTGAAAGGTTTTAATTACAGAGTGAAGATTAGAATCTTAGGCCAGAGCTCAATAAGAGAGATCAACAAATGGGATATGACAGCCAGAGTGAGAGAGGAAAGAAGAAAGAAGAGACCCTGTGACAGAGCCATGAAGAGAAGTGTGACAACGTGAAGACTTAATATTATTTATCAAGTTCATATCATGAGCCTTGTTTGATCTTTCCCCTAATAAAGACTACATTATTTACAAACACTTTTGGAATTTGGTTTGTGTTTTGGGGAGAGATGTGCTACATTTGGCCTCCAGAAGAGTTTAAAACAGTAGCCATGGGAATGCCTTCTCATTCTGTTTTCAATTGCCATCCATTCTCTTAGTGCCTGTCTTGACGCCTTCATGAGCATCCTCTATCGCCACCTACTGGAAGTATAGGCTAATTGCAAAACAAATGTCTAACCATAGGAGGAGAGAAGGCACTCACAAACTCCCCCTTAAACCCATCGGCATCCAGTTTATTCCAACTCATACCAACTCAAAGTACAGAGTGTAATTGCCCCATAGTGACCCCAAGGTTTTATGAATCTTACGGCCAGTCGCCTTACATTCTTTCAGAGTGACTGGTGGGTTTGAACCCTCGATTGGCAGCTGACCACGTTAGACACTGTTTTTCCAGGGCTCCTTATGCTCATGCGGTCGCTATGAGTCGCAAGCGACTCGACGGCACATAACAACAACAACAACCTTATGCTCATAACCTAAACTCAAGCTTATTAAACACTGAGGGCCAGTTCCAACTCTGCCCCTCTCCACCCATAAATTACTCTCTACACCTTTGTTTCCCTTCTGCAGAATAAGGGATTGCTAAAATCTCCACCTCCCAAATCTAGAACTGTCATAAAGATAAATTTTTAAATAAAACCCTAGCAAAAAAAAATCCAGAGTCTTCAAAGTTACAGCTTTAGCCCCCTTCTCCTGTTTTAGCTGATTTTTAAAACTTGGGCTAAAAGATAGCGATATGTGTACGTGTTAAGTTTCCTTTACCAATCATTGACAATTTAATGCTAGTGTTTAGACTGTTCATTTTCCAGTCAGGACACAGAGTAAAGCAAACACCGGGCAGGTGGTTGGTTTCACTGTGACTCTGTTCAAACGAAACCCAACAAAAAGACAACTGTTTCAGACATTTCCGAAACAGCCGTAATAAGGATCAAAGGCTTCTTTATTACTAAAACGGTCAGATACGTTGCTTTCTTTTCCTCTCATGAACCCTAAATAGTATTACACTTAAAGTTGCCAGCATGTCCCTGATTTTCATAGGTTAACCACAGGTCATATTTTGGAAGAGACTTACTCATATATTTCTAAATTGGTTAGCTTGTTTTCAGTCACGTAGTTGCTTGGTACTAAGCCTTCATTCCTAAAACAAAAGACAAAGCAAAAATCAAAACATGTGGCACACTGATGGCATTAGCATGGCAATAATATTATGGAAACTCAAGAGTATAAAGGGAACACAAAAATTGAGCAATAATGTTGTTAAAAGAAGAAAAAAGGGTTTGTATTTCTATATTCTTCACAAAAAAAATCTGTAAGCTAAAAGCAAAATCATGACTCACATAGTAAATAATTTAAAATGGTGGTTGTTGTTGCTGTTGTTATGTGCCGTCGAGTAGTTTGCAATTCATAGCAACCCTACGTATGACAGCCCTAAACTCTGCTCTGTCCTGTGCCAATCGTACCATCTCTGATACACCCACCCTGATTACCCCAGTCACTGAATCAATCCACCTCACAGAAGGCCTTCCCCTCCTTCACTGTCCCTCCACCCTACCAAGCATGATGTCCCTCTTCAAGGACCAGTCCCTCCTTACAACATGTCCAAAGCATGTTAGACGGAGCCTCAGATTCCTTGCCTCCAAGGAGCTGCCCGGTTTAACCTTTTCCAGGATCAATCTGTTTGTTTGAGCAGTCCACAGTACCCTCAATACTCTTCTTCAGCACCACAGCTCAAAGGCATCAATTATCCTTCTATCCTTCTTAGTCATTGTTCAACTCTCTGATGCATGACTAGTGGTAGCAAAGACCAAGGCCTGTATCAGACGTGCCTTAGTCTCCAGAGAGACATTATTGTTCTTCAGTACTTTGGAGAGGTCCCTAACAGCAGACTTTCCCATCACGATACGTCTAATTTCCTGGCTATTGGTGCCGAGAGAGTTGACTGTGGAGCCAAGCAAACTAAAGCTGTGAACAATATCAATCTCTACACCATCCATCCTGATGCTGTCAATTGGTCCAGTGGTGAGAATCTTTGTCTTCTTGACATTGAGCCTTAATCCCTATTTGAGGCTGTGGTCCTTGACGCTCTACAGCAAGCGTTTCAGGTCATCCTCACTTTCAGCACGCAGGGTTGTGTCATCTGCATAACACAGATTGTTGATAGATCTTCCACCAATCTTGACCCCACATTCCTCCTCATAGAGCCCAGCCTCCCGGATAATTTGTTCTGCAAACAGGTTGAAAAGGCATGGAGACAGGACACATTCCTGGCATACGCCCTTCTTAATTTTGAACCATGCATTGTTACCCTGCTCTG